TTGCTTTATAAAGGTATTAATTTCTTTATACAAAAAAAAAATATATATATATATATATATATATATATAGATATGTATATATATATAGATATGTATATATATATAGATATGTATATATATATAGATATGTATATGTATGTATATGTATGTATGTATATGTATGTATATATAGATGTATATGTATGTGTGTGTGTGTGTGTGTATGTGTATGTATGTATATATGTGTGTGTGTGTATATATGTGTGTGTGTATGTATATGTGTGTGTATGTATGTGTGTGTGTGTGTGTGTGTGTTTATATGTGTGTATATGTATATATGTGTGTATATGTATATATGTGTGTATATGTATATATGTGTGTATATGTATATATGTGTGTATATGTATATATGTGTGTATATGTATATATGTGTGTATATGTATATATGTGTGTATATGTATATATGTGTGTATATGTATATATGTGTGTATATGTATATATGTGTGTATATGTATATGTGTGTGTGTGTGTGTGTGTGTGTGTGTGTGTGTATATGTTTATATGTGTGTGTGTGTGTATATGTTTATATGTGTGTGTGTGTGTGTATATGTTTATATGTGTGTGTGTGTATATATGTTTATATGTGTGTGTGTGTATATATGTTTATATGTGTGTGTGTGTATATATGTTTATATGTGTGTGTGTGTATATATGTTTATATGTGTGTGTGTGTATATATGTTTATATGTGTGTGTGTGTATGTGTTTATATGTGTGTGTGTGTATATGTGTTTATATGTGTGTATATATATATACATACACATTCTTTTCTCCTGTTCGGCTCTGTCTGGTTGAGGAGGACCTTGTTTGGGGTTGATGATTTTGTGTGTTGGTTTTCTTGGAGGAATCTAAGCACAAAGCATACAGATCACACACACAAGTAACACACCATTCAAAACAACATACATGTTTGATAACTTCTAGAATGTGGGTGTTAAATTTAACACATTTACACAGATTGAACTCATTGAAGCTCACTGACATATTTCAAAAAGACAAATCATTCTTGCATAAAGGCTGCACAGATGTTTGCTTACCCGACAAGAGCCCTTCTTATTAAAAGACTTCGATTCAGCACCTGTATAAGACGAGATACAGACACACTCTTACAACTGTCCTCCTACTTCCATACTATACAGTATGCAAAAAGCAGCATGTCATATAAGCAATGTTCATAAAACACAAATGCAAAAAAATGGCCCGACTGCCTACTTCCACTGAGACTCTGGAGTGTGCATACATCAAAAAATATGATGTTTGCTCATCATCATGACATACATGACATTAAATGAAGGGATGGAGTTCATGTTCTTACCATATTTAGCCAGCACAAGCCTGGGCTTGCCATTGTCCAGCTCAAACAACAGGCCATCACTGCAAAACAAACCAATAGACCTGAGCAGAACACACTCACATGCTAACAAGAAGTACTATGTTAAAACCATGGTACTTTGTAAGTACTATGATTAATAAAATCATTAATTACCACGGTTTTAATAATAAAGTGTCAATGTTTTAAGCATCATATACCACAACTGTATCTTACTGCAAAGGTCAGTCTAAAACAGACAGCTTAGAGTGAATGTTTCAGAAGAATCTACACGCAAATCATAAAATACTGCATCCTTTAATCATCCGCATGTACAAACCACTAAAGCAGCATAAAAAGCGGTGACATTAATGTGACAAACTACTACAGAACGTGAAGAGAGACGCATCAGTTAAGACCACTCACCCCAAATTCATCATTTTAAAGCCTCTAATGTTTTGATGCCTGTGCGTCCTGTTGAAAGTTGAAACGCGTGTCCGTTGCTGCTACGACCAGTAAGCGCTCTTCTGATTGGCTGAGGTGGAGTGTCTTCTTCTACAGCCCAGCAGCAGCAGGGCAGCAAACATCACGAAGGGCTTTAGCGCCTCTTCAGGCGGAGAGCGGAAGCGCGACTGTGCTCTCGGACACCGTCCCGCTATTAGCATTATTTGAAAAGATTGTAATAGTGTTTTCAGCTTAAAGGGAAAAGTATGAAATCCATTTGACGTTAAGAAAAAAATATAATTGTGTAGTTATAAAAAAAAGAAGAAACTAATGCCAATGTTATTCGTTAACGCACTCAAAAAGTTGAAAGAGAAAGATGTAGCCTACCTTTGCATTTTACTGTAAAATATTTTTATTTATTTTAACGTTATTAATTTATTGCATTTAATATTTTTTCCTGAATGCGTGTTTGCATTTGCATTAATCTTTGTTTGTATGTAGCTAAGATGCAATTATTTTGGCAGGTACACTGAAAAAAAAGGTGTATTTATTTTAAACAAGTTTTCACTCAGAAAATACAAATAATTACAAAGAAACAGTAAGTAACATACTGAATTAATTCTTTGAGATTTTGAAGAAGATAGACTGAAACCGTTTTTGTTGTTATTGTTGTTGTTAAAACACACTCTTCCAATAATCCTAATTTACAACCTTAAAAAATTTATTTTACAGTGTACAATTATATAAAACATATACAACTGAAAACATTACAATGAGACAGATACTAATAATAATAATATAAAAACTGAAGTTTTAATAAGTTCAGCTGAAAAAAAAAATCCAATCAGTTATAGCACTCATTGCATTCGATGAATTCTTTGAATTCTTGAAGAGCATTGCTAAATGAGACAAACAATATAAACCCTGCAGGCAGAATTCTCAAATATAACACGAGTATGAGCAAATAATTCATGCAAAACAGAATCAGGACTAGATAATCAGAATGAAAGAAAGTCATTATATTCAATAACCATGTAGCAATAGAGATGGTATATTTTGAGCTGAGTGCTGACCTGATAAATCCAAATATGTCCAGTTGATCACCAGGAGAAAAGCTCAGCTAGACCAAGACAAATTATTAAAACACAAAAAGAAGAATATCTAAAACACTGTATATTAGCACCTTAAAGTAGAAATATATACCCTCAAGGTAGTAATATGTTTTATGGAACTATTATGAACCGTTTATGAAGATACAAATATCTCTTTGAGAGTACTGCCACAGTAACAAGCTGTAAGGTACAATTTTCCACATTTTTAGAGTGTATTTTTGTATATATTTGTATTAGAGAAACAATGCATTTCTTTACTTCTACATATATCTTATTGTTATTAATTTATTTAGTGTGTATCCACGTATGTATGTGTATATAATAGACAGTGTTGGGCTCGTTACTCCAAAAATGTAATTTATTACTTGTTACTAGTTACTCCTTTCAAAAGTAATAGTATTACTTTACTTATTACTTTCTAACAACAGTAATTAGTTACACTACTAGTTACATTACTTTTCCTTCACGCCCCACAGAAGTTGTAATTGTGTATCTTCCTCATAAAATTCTTCTGAAATGTTACTAACAATATATTTCTGCCTCATCATTTGACCAAAATCTGCATTGGATCGCAGTCAGAAGTTATTACAAACACTCAGTGGTGATTGATGGTGACTTTTAAGTAGAGGTGTTGTATTAATTGTAGCTTATTTCATTAAGTATTTTATCTAAAGAAATCACATAAGTTCATAAGATTTTTAATTACAGTAATATAATTTATATGGGGATCAGAGGGGTGTGGGTGTAATGCCAGAGTAAAGTAATGCCACAACTTACACATCTGTGTTCAGATCACCTTTTCTTCTGACAAAATCAGTGTAATGGCAATAGCCTATTTCTGTCCCCTAAATGTAAGCTTTTCCATATTCTAAGCTTTCCTGATGCACTGCTGACTTCATGTGCCTGTGCCAGTCATTATGAAAATAAATCTAGGAATTATTGGATTGTTGGATTTAATCATTAGGGGTTGAGGCATCAAAGTTAACTAAGTAACGAGCTGTTTTATGGATGGTAGCTGTAATATTATTACTGAAATCTTATGGTTACACTACTAGATACTGCAAAAAGTAATATTACTACCCTGTTGAAAAAAACAGCATATGCTGGTTAGATATGTTTTGAAGCTGGGATGCTGGTTTGAGTTGGTTTAAGCTGGTTCTCTGCTGGTTTATGCTGGTCCTTAGCTGGACATGTGCTGGTCCTAAACTGGTCCGACCAGTTTAAGACCAGCAAAGGACCAGCTCAAACCAGCAAAAGGACCAGCTCAAACCAGCAAAAGGACCAGCTCAAACCAGCAAAAGGACCAGCTCAAACCAGCAAAAGGACCAGCTCAAACCAGCAAAAGGACCAGCTCAAACCAGCAAAAGGACCAGCTCAAACCAGCAAAAGGACCAGCTCAAACCAGCAAAAGGACCAGCTCAAACCAGCAAAAGGACCAGCTCAAACCAGCAAAGGACCAGCATAAACCAGCAAAGGACCAGCATAAACCAGCAAAGGACCAGCTCAAACCAGCGAAGGACCAGCATAAACCAGCAAAGGACCAGCTCAAACCAGCATCCCAGCTTCAAAACATACCTAACCAGCATATGCTGGTTTTTTCAACAGGGTACTCTAACTAGTTACTAGCAGTGTTGGGGGTAAAGCATTACAAGTAACGCAAGTTACGTAATCATATTACTTTTTCAAGTAACTAGTAAAGTAACGCATTACTTTTTAATTTACAAGAGAATATCTGAGTTACTTTTTCAAATAAGTAACGCAAGTTACTTTTTTTTCCAATTTATTGATTGACAGCTCTCCAGTCCCCATGTTGAGAGAAATCAGATGTTACTGTAGTTCTAAAATAAAAATGAATATGCATTAAATCATCTCACTCACAAAAAAAACAACAACACAGATTCAGTATTCCTCAAAATGAATTAAAAAAATGCAACTCAGAATATGACGCAAACCTGCCATTATTAAATGTTAAACAAGACAAATATCCTTTATGCATTTAATCCCATTTTATTAAGCAATGTCTTTGCTTCTGACCTTCGATGATCCAGTTCAACCGTACTAAGCACAAATTACTCTAGACAAACATTTCTGTGTTTTTTTTTTATTGCTGAAGTGTGTTGAAATTTCTTCTTCTGCATTCTACTGTACAGACGTAAATTTACATTTCCTTCAGCCTGTACTAATAAACACAAATTACTAATAAGCAAATTAGTAAAAATGACTAATTACTAATAAGCACAATAAGTAAATTTACATTTCCTTCAACCGTACTAATAAACACAAATTACTCTAGACAAACATTTGTGTGTCTTTTTTTATTGCAGAAGTGTGTTGAAATTTCTTCTTCTGCATTCTACTGTACGGACGTAAATTTACATTTCCTTCAGCCTGAAGCTTATTCATTTCACGTTTGGTTAACAAACAAACAAGCAAGCCCTGTCCAGATTTAAAAAGTAACGCAAAAGTAACGTAATGCATTACTTTCCATAAAATGTAACTAAGTAACGTAATTAGTTACTTTTTATGGAGTAACGCAATATTGTAATGCATTACTTTTAAAAGTAACTTTCCCCAACACTGGTTACTAGTAACTATTTACTGCCCAACACTGATCATAGCCGATGAGATGCCAAGCTAAGCTGCTCGGTGAATCTGGACAGCGGTATGTTATACAGAGGCTCTGTCAGTAGAGCGCAGTGTTATGTGATGCTGCTGCTGCTGCTGCTGCTGTCAGTTTGTTCTACTGTTTCAATCTCTCTCAGGCGCATACACACAGTCAGTGTGTTTTAGCTAGAAAAAGTCTTTAAACGCGGATTAACGCACTAGCTAGTCGGATATATTAATTAGTTAGTGTTTATAAAATGAGATTGTATCTTTATTTAATGAGCTTTATTATAATAGAAAGAACATAGAAGAAAGAGAGGCCAGGTTAGGTGAGAGTGCCTCGGATATCATATAAATGCTCTGTTAGTGACAGATACAGCAGGGTTGGATAAAGTTAAAGACTAGGATAAAGGAGCGAAGCGATATTTTTATGGTTTTATTCGCTAGATTAAATGCTTTATTTTCTCGGGATCAGCCATCAGAGCTGCACGGACGAGATGAGATCATAAAAACATTTCTGTGTTTTTTTTTATTGCTGAAGTGTGTTGAAATTTCTTCTTCTGCATTCTACTGTACAGACGTAAATTTACATTTCCTTCAGCCTGTACTAATAAACACAAATTACTAATAAGCAAATTAGTAAAAATGACTAATTACTAATAAGCACAATAAGTAAATTTACATTTCCTTCAACCGTACTAATAAACACAAATTACTCTAGACAAACATTTGTGTGTCTTTTTTTATTGCAGAAGTGTGTTGAAATTTCTTCTTCTGCATTCTACTGTACGGACGTAAATTTACATTTCCTTCAGCCTGAAGCTTATTCATTTCACGTTTGGTTAACAAACAAACAAGCAAGCCCTGTCCAGATTTAAAAAGTAACGCAAAAGTAACGTAATGCATTACTTTCCATAAAATGTAACTAAGTAACGTAATTAGTTACTTTTTATGGAGTAACGCAATATTGTAATGCATTACTTTTAAAAGTAACTTTCCCCAACACTGGTTACTAGTAACTATTTACTGCCCAACACTGATCATAGCCGATGAGATGCCAAGCTAAGCTGCTCGGTGAATCTGGACAGCGGTATGTTATACAGAGGCTCTGTCAGTAGAGCGCAGTGTTATGTGATGCTGCTGCTGCTGCTGCTGCTG